TTGTGGCCCTACGCTGCACTGACTCTAACCTGGCTATATCCTGCCTGTAATGAGGGGCCCAAAACTGAGCACAATACTCCAGTTGTGGGCACACCAGAGTCGTATAGCGTGGTAGTAATACCTCTCTCGATCTGGAAGCCACACTTCTGGCTATGCAACCAAGGGTGGCGTTCGCTCTCTTGACCACCGCATCACACTGCTGACTCATAGTTAGCCTGCAGTCAACCAGTACCCCGAGGTCCCTTTCACAAGTGCTGCTCTCCAGCCACTTGTCACCTACCTGTATTTATGATACCTATTCCTATGCCCCAAGTGCAAGACCTTGCACTTATCCACATTGAACGCCATCCTTTTGTCTCCTGCCCACTTCCATAGTCTGTCCAGATCCTTTTGGATCTGGAGTACCTGCTGCTCAGTTGTGACCACTGCTCCAGTTTTAGTATCGTCTGCGAATTTGATCAGCAGACTGTTCACCCCTTCTTCCATGTCATTAATGAAAAGATTAAACAGGATCGGCCCCTGGGGGACCCCGCTTGTCACTGGCCGCCATCCCGATGATTCCCCACTAATGGTTACCTTCTGCTTTTGGTCAGTCAGGCATGTCCTAATCCACCGGACAGTGCTTTGGTGTATGCCAAAACTCCTCAGTTTCTCCACCAGGATATCATGGGGCACTTTGTCAAAGGCCTTGCTGAAATCCAGGTATACCACATCCACTGCATCCCCTCCATCTAGCCATCTCAAAACCTTGTCATAGAATTCCACAAGGTTTGTTTGGCAAGACCTGTTTTTGCGGAAGCCGTGTTGTATGGCTGTCAGCCTTCCTTCCCTATCTAGCATCACTAGATCTCTCTCTATTATGAGCCTTTCCATTGTTTTTCCTACAATGGATGTAAGGCTAACAGGTCTGTAATTCCCCATGTCCCTTCTACTACCCTTTTTGAAAATTGGGACCACTGATGCCACCCTCCAGTCCTCTGGAACTTCACCCGTTCTTCACGAGGCCTCAAAAATGGAGGCCAGCGGGCATGAGAGAACCCCTGCCAACTCTCTAAGTACTCTTGGGTGTAACCCATCAGGGCTTGGAGCCTTTGTAATGTCCAGTGCCCTGAGGAGCCCCTCAACGTCAAGGGGAGTAACTCTAATCTGTGCCCCTAAGTCCACAGCCTCATCTAATCTCCTATGCGGACATCCCCTGTCCTGCTTTAGGGAGAACACGGAGGCAAAATAGTCATTTACCATCTGTGCCTGTTCCCTCATATCAGTCACTGGATCTCCTTCCTCCTTATTTAGTGGTCCCACCACTTGTCTCCCTTTCCTCTTCCTATTTACATGCTGAAAGAAGCCCTTTTTGTTGTTCTTGATAATTCTTGGCAAGTCTCAGCTCGTAATCAGCCTTAGACTTGCGAAGAATCCTTCTGAAATGGGCCTCCTCCTCCCGGTATACCCTTTTGTCTATTTGCTCCAGTACCCATTTCCTACAGAGGTTCCTCTTTCGTCTAATCCCTCTAACCACCTCCTTTCGCATACATGGCGGCGCTCTCCTCTGCCTCTCCACCTTACTAACTAGAGGTATCATCAAGGCTTGTGCCTCCAAAACCTCCCTTTTGAGTGCCATCCACCCCTCCTCAACTCGCTTACCTTCCAGTAACCTATCCCAGGAGACTTTCCCCAGTCTGGCCTTCAGTTGGCCAAAGCTGGCCCTCTTGAAGTCCCAGCTTCTAGTGCTCGACCTGCTGCATGTCCCCAGTCCCCTGATCTGAAAGCAAAGGATGAAGTGATCACTCGCATCCAGAGCTCCCCTAATCTGTGCGTCATCTATCAGCTCCTCTCTATTGGTCAAGACCAAGTCAAGGATGTTTCCCCCCCCGTTGCCTCTTGGACCCTCTGTGTGAAAAACCCTCCCTCTGTAGCTTCTAGGAAGAGACGTGACCTGGCTGTCACTGCCGAGTGAGTCTCCCAGCTAATATCCAGGAGACTGAAATCTCCCATAATTACTGTGTCTCTCCCCCGAGATATCCTTAGAATCTGGTCTGTCAGGCCATCATCCAGGGTCTCAAGTTGACCTGGAGGGCGATAACATACCCCCACTGTCAGGTCTCTTTCCCTGTCAAAACCCCTAAGTTTCACCCAGACTGCCTCTACCAAATCCCCATCTGTGCTGCGTTCTGTCTCACTGCATCCTATCCCTTCCCTGATGTATAAAGCCACACCCCCACCCCTCTTTCCCTTCCTGTCCTTTCTAAAAAGGTGATACCCCTCTATGTTCACATTCCAGACTTGCCTTTCATCCCACCAAGTTTCTGTGATTCCCACCAGGTCATACCCTCCTGTTCCCAGGAGAGCTTCAAGCTCTTCCTGCTTATTACCCATGCTCCTAGCATTGGTGTACATGTACCTCAACTCCTTCCCATCGCTTCTTTTCCTTGGAGTTCCCAACCTCTTCCTTCCTCCCATCCTCCCTGATACCTGGCCCCTCTCTGTAGGAGTCCTGTCAGTCCCTGCTTTCAGAAGTTTTCAGAAGGTTCCACAAACCTTAGGCAGAGGGGACAAGCGAAAATCAGGTTCTTTCTGCTTGTGGAAGGCCTTCTTGAGCTACAACCCTGAAACAATATACTTACTCTTGTTCTAACATCTGAATATATTTTTAGTATATTAGCGAAGGTGTCCTTCCAAAGTTCCTTTGTAAAATTGAGTCCTTTTAATTTTTAACCCTGGAATTTTTTTCTTTGATTTCCAAATCATCTTTTAGCAATAAACCATATATGATAGGTAACAGTTTCTTAGTCTTTCCAAGAGCTTCTCATTGGGTTAGATTACTAGTTACCTCATACTACCTTTATAATTGTAGTCAGTAGCATATACTCTATAAAAAAGTAAATCTGATTTTGCTGCACATGGAGGCTTTCAGAGCAGCCCAGGCCCCACCACAGCAGCAAACTGTATTCCTACAAGATCACTACTCAGCTGTACAAGTATACATAGGACCATGTTATTCCTTGGATATAGGTATCATTTCAGCTCACAACCAAAAAGTTATCCCTGGATATTTATTACCAACACGCTTTCTACACAACTATATCCTTGAATTAATACTGCAATGGTTATCTCGGTATCCTCTAAACAAGAATTCCATATACTATCTGTAGTCTTCCAGATGGTTAATCCCGTCCCCTGTGGAGAATGCATCAACCCAGTAAACTTCAGTGAGCTCTGATGTGAAGCAAATTATCATGTTATTCGATCCCAGTGTTTTCTTTCTTTCCCCAGGACCTACTTTCTCTTAGTCACTTTGTCACTGTGAAGCCATTCAAACTACAAATCATATTCAAGGCACTAGAACTCAGGTTTAAAGATTTCATATAAACTAAAGACAACACATAAGTAGGGACACATTATTACAATTTGGGAATCAAGCTTCACAGTTACAATTGCTTTGTTTTGTCTCTGTAGTTTGTTTCACAAAGCTTGGGTATTTTCTTTTCAACCCTATTAACAGAGTTGGAATGAATAAATTAACCGTCCAGACAAGTAAGGCATTATCCTGTGCATACAGAAATAGGTTTCTGTTGTTCTGATGTCCTATAAAAGCAAAATAACTACTTCTGGATATACAATTGGATTTTTTTTCTTGAAAAAAACCCTAAGAAAACCCTAAGAACCCTAAAAAAACATGTGACCTGGCTGTTTTTCATGCTGAAAAGTATTGTAGTGTCTTACATAAGGATGCATATGCCAGTTGCAACACTGAGTTGCAATGTTGAGTTCTAAAGTGATAAAATACAGCTGCATTTTACTCCATATTTCTCACATTATTAGACAAGTATTTCATTTTTATATGATAGTCTATTAATAGCCGCCTTAATCTGATGATTAGTCTCTCTTCTAAAAGCCTACATAACTGCACATTTTAGCAATGAAATCTGTGGGTGTGCTGGAAGTATCATTTTATCTTCTAATTGTCCATGAATACTTACCTGGTCTTTGCAGCCAAATTAAGCCATGGTGGCTAATTTATATTGATGTAAATGCCAAATATTATGGAGATTACAGCCAGCTCACACTGCAGTTTAAATAAGCCACCAAGCTATATTTCTGTTGTGCAAACTGGCCCAATATAACCAATAAATATTTAGAGAAGAAACTGCCCCAGTTAAACAATGATTTGTTGTTGAGTTAACCACTAGGTTGTTTAGCCCCTAGCTACCATGCACCAGTTTAACACATCATACTCACAAGGTGGCTGTTGGTTGGTTGTTGATTAGAGGAGGCTCACAGTTTCACATCACATACATATTTGTTGAACATTAGAGATTGTCGTAATAAAGCTGTGTTCAAAATACCTTTTTGTACAGGTCAGCCTATGGTCAAAGCTCAAAAGCCTAGTTCCTTTGTTTATATTAAAATGTTTTTAAAACAAAAAATAATATTTCAACCTAAGTGGTTATGTTGAACCCGTTATTATGAAAATAAATAAGAAGCATTTTAAGGCCATATTTTTACTGCTTGCTTGGAGAATCATCAACTGTTAACAGTATTTTTCTATTGTTTTTCATACTCAAGAGAAAAAGAACAGCAATAGAACTCTTTCCAAATTACAACCAGAAGTAGAAACAAATGTGTATCATTTAAACTTTGATCCTGATCGCACCAAGTTGTTGTGATGCAGATTTCACATCTTTAATTGAAAATAAATAAATAAGTGGAAGCTAAGTAAGCTCTGACAGGTCTTTAGTTGTGAATATTTTGTTGTAATTTGGTTTTACACTTCAAAATGGTTTGTTTACCTTTCTTCTCTATCTGTGTTTAACTCTCTCATCCTTTCTGCACTTCTCTTAAACTATAAGTCTTTTACACTAATTATTGCAGTTATTTATACAGTTTAAACTGTAATACAAATGGCATCTCTCTATAGAGGGATTATATTTCTAAGTATAGGCATTTCAAGTTTTCCTTCTAGTACAGAATAATTAGAAGTCTGTCTTGCTTTTTTTCCCTAGCTCTGTGCTGCCCATCTACCAACACAATCAGATGCAGCAAATCACTATCAAGCAGTATGTCGAGCACTATTTGCTGAAACAATGGAGTTGTATACATTCTTGGCCAGAATTAAAAGTGCAAGAGAGGTAAGAAGAAAGACTGTCCTTTGGGTGTTTGGTTTAGAATACTGTTACATATTTTTTAAAGAAACCATTTTTGAAGTATGCAGAAGAGTGTATTTTCCCAGTTTAAAATGCGAGTTAACTTGCACAACACAGTAAAATGGTTCAGACATTGTATGAAGCCATGGTCACTAGTGATGAGAACAATTGTAATAAGTCTCAGGCTTGTGCACCCCTCCAACCTGCTGTAGCCAAGAAAAGCTTCCATGCCTGTTTTTTAATAACCCCAAAGTTTAGTGCAATAACTGAATCTTAAATTATGACTTGATATTTTCTTTCAGATAAACCATATAATAATCACAGTTTATTAAGGTTGGAAGACATGACAATCTCAGCTGGATCAAAACAGAAATACCACATAAGCTTCCAGTTTCCTCATGGCAGCTGCAAAGGAGTGTGTACATAGCTTGTTCCAGGGGTTTTTTATGGCTTCCCCAGTGTTGCAGCTTCATAATAGCACCCACTATTCTGCTTTCTGTTGGGTGCAGTGGGGTGAGTGGGAGGAATATTTTGATCTTGAATTCCCCCATCCAAGGATATATCTCCCAACCTTTTTAGACTTGTGGGCTCATTTGGGAATTTCAGAAACTGGGCATCACTACAGTATGCCTGATTCATGAATCTCTGCTTTGTTTCCACCTGTGAATCTTGTGAATACCTGTGAATCTTAGGCCCTATGTTATTTAGCAAAAACTTGTTTTGTACCAATTGGACACTGCAGCATCTCTTTAATATGGGATTGTCTAATTCAGCTAATAGTTAGTGGTACAATATAGCTACTGCTTCTTTGAGACATGGTTTGGCAATTTCCAGTATTTTGTGGGGAGGGGGCTGTTTTTTACAGATAAATTTTGTACTGGAACAATATTCACTATGTACTACTTCTTTTAAATTAATTACCTACTTCAAGAAAATTAATAAATGGCAGTAGAAATGGATTTTCTCAGCCCTTTTGACAATTAAAAGACTGATACTACAAAATTGGAAGGATGAACATTCACCACCTATAAAGAAATGGGTTGAGGACCTTGGAATGTTTTCTGTATGAACAAGTGGCATATAAACAATACCTTTTGATGGATATTTATTTGGATATTTGCTCCACTCTACTTGAATGATCTATGACTCAGAATTGACAGGGGAGAGTGTCCCTGTTGGTTTTGCTGGATCTTTCAGTGGCCTTTGATACTTTTGACTGTAGTATCTTTTGGATTGCCTGAGAGAGTTGGGAATTGGAGGCACTGTTTTGCAGTGGTTCTGTTCCTACCTCTCAGGTCAGTTGCAGATAGTGCTGCTTGGAGACTTCCACTCCTCTAAAAAGGCATTGACTTCTGGAGTTGCACGGAGCTCCATTTTCCCCCCAGTGCTGTATAAGATCTACATAAGGGGTCCTCAAACTTTTTCAATAGGGGGCCAGTTGAAAGGTGGTGCCTTCATGTGCAGGCTGGTGGGAGGGGGTGCCTGGGCGTGTGGGCCAGTGAGGCCTAGTCAGGTGGCGTTGGGCACGTGTGGCAGTGACTCGCTCGCTCGGAGATCTCCCACTGAGTTCAAAACCATCTCCAAGTGAGCAAGCCACCGGTTAGCAAGCGTGCGTGGGGGAGACAGGCGGTGGCGGCTTGCTCGGATATGGTTTTGAACTCGCTGGGAGATCTCCCAACGAGCCAAAACCATCTCTGAGCGAACAAGCCACCACGGGCCAGATGAAAGGGCCGGATCCATCCCACGGCCAGATCCTTCCCACGGCCGGATCCATCCCACGGGCCGTAGTTTGAGGACCCATGATCTACATGAAGCCACTGGGAGGGAAAACATTTGGTGGAGTGTTACTGGACATTCTAACTATGCTGATGACACCCAGAACTATTTCTCTTTACTGCCATCATCTTCTTCTAGAGATAACATTGCTCCTCTGAAGCAAGTAATGGACTGGGTGAGAAAAAACAAATTGAAATTGAATCCAGGCAAAATGGATGGGCTTGTTGTTAAGGGTACCAGTCCATGATTAAAGAGGTGTCAACTGGTTCTAGATGGGTCACACTCCTCCCCCAAAAGACTGTGTTTGCATTTCAGGGTGCTGCTTGACCCCAGCCCTTCAGATGTAAGCACAGATAGAACCCATGGTCAAGAGTGTCTGTTATCTGCTTCAGCTGATTCTCCAACTGTATCCCTTCTTGGAGAAGAATGACCTGAAAACAGTAGTGCATACACTGATATCCTCTAGGCTGGGTTTCTGCAGTGCACTCTGTATAGGGCTACCCTTGTGCAGTTACTACCGTGGCAGCCAGTTTGGTCTCTGGGTCATCATGGCAAGGCCGTGTATCACCAATACTAAAGTATCTGCACTGGTTGCCAATATGTTTCTGGGCACAGTCCTAGATCTGTTGTTTACATTTAAAGCTTGGGTCCGAATGCCTTTAGGAGCACTTTTGCCCATATATTCTGCCTCACCTGCTAAGGTCCTCTGGGGATAATCTTCTGAAGCTTACTTCTATTAGATTAATGTCAGCTTCCCACAGGACTTTTTCAGTGGTTGCCCTAAACTATGGAATGGGCTTCAGGAGAGATACATCAGATATCCCAGATTGCCACCTTTAAAGACTTATCTCTTCTGACAGGCCTTCCCAGATTAGTGCCCAGGCTACTTTTATTTAATATGCTTGTTTTTAGTTGAAATTTTAACTGTTGTTTATTTTAATCTCCTGTAAACCTCCCAGAGCCTATGGAAATGGGTCAGGGGGGGTTTTTTCCCTATAAATTGCTAAGAGGAAAGGATCGTATGGTCTGCAATTTTGTGTGTATGGGGAAGAAAAACTTGTACGTTTCTCTAGAAACATAACTACTAAAGCAATTTCTGTTCTGGTTTTCCCCCTCTTCAATTATTCCATTAATGAATGCACTGAAACATACTGCAGTGGTTTGATAATTTGATGTTGGAACTCTCCTTCTAAGGAGATGTGTGGGTGTAAATATATACCTGACTTCAGAAGAATGGTAAATTTCCTTAATTTAATATAGTTTTTGGCTTCAGTTGGAGTAGTCCCAGTGAAATCAGTGGGTATGTATGCCATACGTTTTTTAAAAAATTGCTTCTTTATAAGTGCCATCTAATTATTTAATCTTCTAACAAATTCAAGAGGTTGAGTAAAGAAACCATCTAAATAACAGTAATGCTGTTTTACAGATGTGATTTCATGCACATCATAATAAAATGTATTAAGCAGCTTTCCACTTATGGAACAGTCTTTCCAGAAAGATTCACCTGCTGCTGGTTTCCCAGGCTCCTGAGAGGTTTTTGAAGGTGTCTGTGGGAGGACTGTGTGATTTTTATTAGCAGAATTACGTCATTAGCTCCATAATATGGAGCCAGTGTGGTGTAGTGGTTAAGAGCATGGGACTGGGACTCAGACGATCTGGGTTCTAGTCCCTGCTCAGCCATGGAGCCAACTGGGTGACTTTGGGCCAGTCACAGACTCTCAGCCCAACCTACCTCACAGGGTGGTTGTTGTGGGGATAAGATGGAGGAGGAGATGTAAGCTGCCTTGAGCCCTTTGTAGGAAAAAGGCAGGATATAAATCAATAAAATAAATAAATAATATGTGTTTAATGCTGGGGTGCTGCACATCTTGTTTTGTTACGACATTTCATGTTGCTGTTCATTGTATGTTTTTATGTTCTAATTTGTATTTGATTTGTTTGAAGTTTGTCTTTTGTAAGCCTCTCGAAGAATGCTGTTAGAGACAGCAAACAATTGTCATAAATAAATCATTTAAATACTGAAAGCTATTGTAATTTGGAAAACAGATTTTCTAAATTCTAAATCTAATCTCTAGCTTAATTCATGCCATGGCCCTGAACCAATGATAGTAACTGATTCTAGTTGAATGTACAGTTTTAGAACATACAATGCATTCAGGTAGTGAATTGTAAAAAGCCTTCTGTGTATAAATTTCCCTTGCTGGGATCCTGCACATTTCAGTGATAGCATTTTTAACCAATTTTATACACTGGAGGCATTTTATGGGATTAATAGTACTCAGATATTAAATTTCAAGCTTGTAGTGTGTATTGGCAAACATTATTTGGAATGCTATGAGCCATATAATTAACCTAATTAATAAGTGAAGAAATGTGATAGAGGTCTATTATATATTCTGTTTTTCATGTCCCTAACACTGGCTGCACTGCTGTTGCTTCATTTAATGAATATATACATTGTATTTATCTGGCAGAATCTAAAGAAGATGCAGGAAATGGACAAAGAAGGGACTGAGGAATCCAACACAGATCTTGATGAGTTAAAAAATGCTGATTGGGTAGGCTTCTTTTGAATAATATATTAAATATTACTAACTTAATAAGGGCAAACAGCATACATGATTGTGAGGAGAAGCGTTTACAGTACGTGTTTTGAATACATGTATATGCTTATCTGAGGAAAGACAGTTACATCTTTCCAGGTACAGTTACATGCAGTGCAGCGAAGCCTATTCCAGAGCACCCCAGACGTTTATGAGTAGGTGCAGTGAGAAAGGCTGTAAAGGCTCTGGTATAGACACTGAATATTGTGTCGGCCTTTGGATGCTATATTGTGTTTAAGATGTTTTAATAAATATGGGTGTGTTTCTTAAGTGTTTTATATCCATATAAAGGTTACATATATTCATATTCTAAGATAAACATTTGGCTTACTCATCTGATCCAGCTTACATACAAATTCAACTTAAGGAAGTTCTCAGGAACAGAACTCATTCTTAACCTGGGGACTACCATTTTACACAGTTAAAGTTTAACTGTGTAAAATGTATGTAAAGTTTATACATTTTATACAGTTAAAGCTTAAAAATAATCTATGCAGACATCAGTACATGTCTGTAGTTATTTTTATAAAAACTTGTAAAAAAGCATAGCCCTAATGCTTTGGAGCCAGAGTCTGATTGAGAGTTAAATCAGTATGATTCTGAATCCCATCCAGTTGGGGGAAGCTTGGGGTCTGAAAGTTCATCTTTGCCTAGTTTCCCACTGGTTGCAGGACAAAGGAGGGTGATACTGCCTTTGAGCCACAGCTGCAAGATTTGACCTTGAGCATGGCCTCTGATGTACAGACCAGTATTTTAAGAGCAGAAAGAGGACTCCACAGGAAAGAGTAGCTAAAGGGTATGTCTAAAGTAAACTAAATTCTGAACTAAAATGCCCTCTCAGATGTAGTGCTTTATTATAGGCCAGATTCTCCTGGCAGAATAGATAATCAGCTTTAGCGACCTCTCCCCTATATTTATTTATTTAAAACATTTCTATGCTGCCCCCATCGCAACAAAGCCTCGGGGTGGCTCACAAAGAATACATAAAAACATACATAAATAATAATAATATAAAAATTAAAAAAACATTTAAAGACCCCTGGTGCATTCTTGGCTAAAAAAATTTAAATCCTAATTAATTCAATAATTTAACAATTAAAATAAGTTTTAAATACAAAGGTCTTAGCCTGGCGCCGAAAAACAAATAACAACGGCACCAGGCGGACCTCTCTGGGGAGCGCATTCCATAGATGGGGCGCCACCGCAGAGAAGGCCCTCCTCCGGGTACTTTGCTTCCTGATATCTCTTACGGAAGGCTCCCAGAGGAGAGCCCCTGCTGCCGATCTCAAGGGGCGGGAGGGCATATAGGGGCGCAAGCGTTCCTTTAGATATCCAGGTCCCAAGCCATTTAGGGCTTTATAGGTCATAACCAACACCTTGAATTGGGCCCGGACTTCAATCGGGAGCCAGTGGAGCTGACGGAGAACTGGGGTTATATGAGAACAACACCCAGTCCCCGTCAGCAACCTGACAGCTCTATTCTGCACCAATTGAAGTATCCGAACCGCCTTCAAGGGTAGCCCCACATTGAGCGTGTTACAGAAGTCAAGGCGGGAAGTCACCAACGCATGTGTCACTGTCACCAGGCAGTCGTACTCCAGGTAGGGGCGCAGCTGATGGATCAGCCGAAGCTGAAGGAAGGCGCTCCTCGCCACCACCGTCACCTGAGCTTCTAGAGACAGCTCAGGGTCGAGAAGCACTCCTAAGCTGCGAACCCTGTCCCTCAGAGGGAGTGCAACCCCATTTAGGACAAGGCCCAAGTCCCCCATCCCGAGGCCCGAGCCACCCACCAACAGGACCTCCGTCTTGTCTGGATTGAGCTTCAGTTTATTGACCCTCATCCAGCCCATTACCTCAGCCAGGCACTGGTTCAGCACAGCCACTGCCTCACCTGGATTGGAGGAAAACGAGAGGTAGAGCTGGGTATCATCAGCTCTACCTCTCGTTTGATGATTCCGCAGCCCACACCTCCTAATGACCTCTCCCAGCGGTTTCATGTAGATGTTAAATAGCAAAGGGGACAAAATGGACCCCTGCGGAACTCCATGGCATAACTGCCATGTCGCAGAGCCATAGTCCCCCAGCACCACCTTCTGAAATCAGCCATTTAAGCTGGTGCAGAGGTTTCTGCTGAAAACAATGTATTAATTGCCCCAAATAGTTTCTTTCCTATACTTTGTGAAACCTTAACTCTGTCTGCCTTGAATCCTACTTCATTAAGACCTTGACTGTTGCTGGACTAGAACTCTGAATTTGACTCTATATGGATTTTAGCTTTGGAACAAGGATACATGTCCAGGTTATCTGCTTTATGGGTGCCTATAAACACTGTGAGCTTTGCCACAAGCTCTGGAAAGCTGCTGAAATAAAGAATGTTGGTAGTATTTGTGTCCTGTGTCTGAAAGTCAGGCCTGACAATGAAGTTCCATAAAGCTTTGAATGTAAAAACATGAGCATGGAAAAGGTATCAAAATATATTAAATCATGTTCGCAATCATGGTTCTTAAGAGATTAGAGTTTGATTAAGGATTCTACAAAATATTACTTTTTCTTGATTCTTCAGGCCCAGTTTTGGGTGCAAGTCATGCGAGACTTGAGAAATGGAGTGAAATTGAAGAAGGTTCAAGAACGCCAGTATAATCCACTTCCAATAGAGTACCAGCTCACTCCATATGAGATGCTAATGGATGATATTCGATCCAAACGTTATACTTTAAGGAAAGTTATGGTAAGCTGTGATAGTACCAAATAAAAAGGGAAACTCTTCTTTAACTTTATTTCAATAAAAGTCAATTTATGATTCTACACGTAGTTCTAGATTTATGGCAATAGATCTTATAACCACAGAGATACTTTATACAAGTTTTAGAGCTTGTGCATTATTCTCTATGGAATTTTTGACTGCTTTTTCTTGGTATGGAAGGATCTCAGTTGATATCATCACCTTTGCAATTTACTTTAGTTTCAGAAATAGTTACCATGTGGCATGGGTGTCTGCTGTTTGGGAGAGGAATATCTCCTTTGAATGACTTGCAGGGGTTTTTGGATACTGTCATAAGCATTAGATAAAAATAAGCTCAGAAAAGCCGATATACTCAAGAATGATTACAGTGACTTTATTGGGAGATGTTTCACTTAGGTGTCATGCAGTTCTTCCAGTCACAGAGCTAAGATAAATGTTCCCCCACAACCACTATATTTCACCACCCCAGTTGCAGGAAGAACATTGACTCTGTGTGTGTGTAGCAGGGGTCAGGTACTGGCAATAAGCAGAGCTGTTTGTATCATGCACACCTTTCCACTGACTGTTGTAGCAGATGTGCTAGAATATGATCTGATTCAGGAAGTTAATTCTGATTACTTACAGACTTACTGAAAAGTTTTGATAGATTTAATAATTGTGATTATTTTAGGATATATTGCAGTATTTAAATTGTCAGATGGCCACATGATATTGGATGTGCAAACAGAATAATGGGTTTTTTTTCCTTTTTTAGGTCAATGGAGATATCCCTCCACGATTAAAAAAGAGTGCCCACGAAATTATATTGGATTTTATTCGCTCTCGACCTCCATTAAATCCAGTATGTAATCTAACATTTGTTCTCCCCCACTTCTACCAAAGATGCAGCTTTTTATATATTCAGCTTGTACTAACTGATGTATTAAATGAAGTTTCTCCTCATTCTAACATGCAGACTACCTTAAAATACAAGTATTTTCTATATGATTTACCCTATTTACCCTATTGCAATTCATAAAATACATTTATGGAAAGTTAATCAAAATTCTCAGAATTGTTTTTACAAGAAAATCTTCAGGGAGTTTTGCTTTCTTTCTAGTCTAATTGTTCTTCCTTGTATTTTGCTCTCGGTAGGTTTTTACCCTGTAGTCTTACACTTCATCTCTTCTGCAGCCAGTTCCTGACTCAAGTGTTTCATTTAACCCCTCACACTGTCATGACTTTTTGCACATAATATAACAGCCCATCATGGCTTTATTTACTCATGGAAGTTATTGTGTAGTGCCAGGCACCCATGAGTGTCATTTTTGCATGGCACCTAGAGAAATCCAGCTTCCTGTGGTATGCCATGTTGTGTAAATGCCTACAAACAGCTTTTATACTTTTTCCTTTTCTGGCTTTTTCTAGAAAATTCCTAAGGGTTTCCCCCTACCATGAAGGAAATATCACTGAAAGGAAGGACCTGTCAGCCAAGCGCTATACACACATCTTCTAAATTTCAGCCTAAATATAAAATAGTGTATTGTGATATATTATCTGTATATTGAAAACATTGCTAATACATAGTTAACAAAAATAAGATAAGAACATAAGAGTTATAGATACAAATCTATAATTGCCAGACTATAATTGAGAGAGATTTTAATGGCATAGCTCTGCAACATCTAATCACTGAGTAAGACTATATCATGATGACCTGTTGATGGACATTCCACATGTGGCATAAGTTTTCTACTTTTTATTTAATATTCTCAAGGCATCTGCAAGAAAACTGAAACCTACACCACCACGACCACGTAGCCTCCATGAAAGAATATTGGAAGAAATCAAATCTGAAAGAAAGTTAAGACCTGTCTCTCCTGATGAGATTAGGCGTAGCAGGCTAGGTGAGCATTTTGATTTTGATGTTATGTTTGATGTGCTATAAGAGTTATTCCACATTGCGAATCTATATGTACAGCTTTCATTAACCTTCCCAGGAAGCTGAACTTTTCTAGCTTTAAATAAATTAGTTTCTAGAAATTATACATTTCTTACTAATCAGTTATTTAAATAAAAACAGAATTTCTGCTAATTGTCAAAGGTGGTGATTACATGTAAAGGCAATGATTCTTTCAGATGTGATAGTTCCAGTTTGTATAAAGAGCTTGCTTCATAAAAAGGTAAATGGAGTTCCTTCCATTGTAGTGAAAGTAATCCATGGTGTTACAGAATAAGGCAAAATAGTTTTAGAGCAATGATGTCAGTTTTTTCTGATGTCAATATAGGAAAATAGAATTGCCATTTTGTTGATTGTGGGAGCACAAGGAGTAACAGTCCAGTAATAATGCACTATTGACAAGTGACAGCAGTCACTTTCTCCCATACAAAGCAACATATTACTTAATTCTTTGCATTTTACTCACTAAGCCATTTTTGGATTTCTGCTATCAATTTAACCTTATCTCACTTTTGTGTCAATCTGTGATTTTTACCTGTGGATACTAGACTCAGTATGAAGATTCATTTCTATAACTTACGTACTGCTGGATTATTTAATGTTCATCCAGAAAATTAATATAGTACACCACAATTTCATTTTAGCATTTGCACAGTAGTCCTACACCTTTATCTTGTCCATAGGTAATGAACTGGAGGAGAGTGTATATACAGTATCCATATAGCTTTCTGCTTCTTAATAAAAATCCATGCTGGAATACTGTACAGGATGATGCATACTCTTCCTAAGACTGGATAAAACAAAAACAAAATTGCAGGAAATGACATAAAGGGAAGAGGAATTCTTCTTGGTGTCTGTTAGGTATTTGGGGCTTTTCTCATACAAGAGGTCTGAAAGACCAGAAAATGGTACCAGTTTTGGAACTTTAAAAAAAAGGAAACTTGTTTCACTTGAAGAAAGGGGCTCACTCACCAAACTGGAAGTCCTAATACAATTACTTAAGTCCATTCCTTTTCAGAGCTGAATGCATGTTTTTAAAATACAGTTTACACTTGAAACATGTTGGAAAATCTGGTTTGATTTTCAGCAGAATTGCCTTAAATAAAATGTGGTAACACAGCTTTTAGTATGAGAAGGAATAAACACATGATAGAATTTGTTTAGGAGAAGTTCAGATCAAGAGTTGTTGGGGGTTTTTTATACACATTGTTGCAAAAGACTTGTGTTTTTCATGGAAAGAGCCAATGTAACCTGTTGCAGAGGCAAAGTGGAAGTGAGGCACGGGGAGAGTAGGAGAAATTAACTAATCAAATTACAGGATAATAAGTGGAATGAACTGGACAAATGGCTGTTAATACAACATACTTTTGGTCCCCCCAAGTTTCTGGAAGCATGCTGAGTTGATCCTATTATTCACCAAAAAGAACAGATAGCAGCTATCACATTCAGAACATAAATGTGTTCACACAGAGAAGTATTTGCACATAATTTGGCAAAGTAGTTAGTGTTGTTACTAATAGTTCATGGTAAATGAACACAAATGATTTGCTAGGTCATATGCACAATAAATTGGCATGATCCCTGTTCAGATTTTTCATAAGTAGCTTTAAATTTGTAACACAGTTTGAAATGAATGATTACTCTGTGAACTGCTAACTCTACTGAAATACGGTTTTTGAATGAAAGAGTAAAATGAAATATATTTGTTAGAATCTGTTAGGTAAGGTACAAAGAGTTATTTGAATAGCTAAATAAACATGCAGCTAATTTAAATTTAGAGAATTGTTTTGTCTCATTAGGATTTTTAAAATGAATGGTGTTTATTTTGCACTGTTTATTATTTTTAGCACATTACAGCATGTAGTTAAGATGTGTAACTCAAAAGTAAATCCTTTATATTTTTGTAAGAATAGAATTGTTTTTCTTTTGTCATTTTTATTTCTTTTTCCTTTCTTTTTTCCAGCAATCCGGCCTCTTAGCATGTCTTACAGTTTTGACTTGTCAGGTAAAAATTGCTAGAGCACCTGACGTGGCTATTGTGATAAATGTAAAATGTATTCCATTTCACTTGTTTGTTTTACTTTCATGTAAGAGTGCAACATGAAGATCACTTTCTAATCTTAGTTGGTACAACTTAAGTTTCATTTAAAAATTAAGTGGTTGCTCTTTCTCCCTCTCTCCCTGCCTTCTTCTCTCTCTCTATTTCTCTCTCATATCTTACATGCATGCACACTCAGATGAGAGCAGAACCCAAATAACATATTTTAGTAAAAGCTAATTCTTCCAACAAAGGTTTTCAGATTTTATTCATCACTTCTGCAAGTGCAGTTCTTTTGATGCACTATAGCCATATAATGACCACTAACCACAATGGTGTGCAATGTCCTCCAGGGCCATCCACATCACTGGGCCCTTGCCAAGGGTCAACACCCCAGCAGAGGCTCACTGGCAAGGGCCCTCTAGAGTTGCTCCTCCTCATTACCATTGCAACTTGCTTGTTCTTTGCCTCTCACTTTTACCCAGCCAACAATGATGGTTAGAAAGAAGAACATTAAATTCCACTTCCTCCTTTCTCACTGGCTTTCTGCCTGTCAAATTAGAGATAGCAAAGACAAGATAAAGTAAGAAAATAACAACCTAGTTTGGCAAAGTACTTAGTGTTGTTACTAATATTTAGTAGTTAATTAATACAAATAATTGGCTAGGTTTTATATACAATAAATTGATGTGATCCCTGCCCATATTTTTCACAATCAACTTTAGATGGTTGATCTAAAGTTGATCTAGTAAGAAAATAACCCCAGTGAAAGAGTGGGTTCATTGAGAGTATCTTGGCCAAGGGTCCTTAGAAACAACACTGATTCCTTCATATATCCCCTATTGCAAACATAATACTTGCTTGACTAATTAAGAATGCCCTCTTAAGTACATGCATTCTTCTTTGCAATCTACATGTGAGTCACCACTTCCTTTCTTTGCCAAAATTAGCCATGGTTTGGCAAACAATGCACTAGTATTTAATCCAACCAAGGTTAGCACTAACTCATAATTTGCCAGCAACATAAGAAGGGTTTCAAAACTGGGTTGAAATAGTTATAGCCAATTCATTATTATACTGTATTTTCCACAATTCATTGCATCCAAAGCAGTCCACAATAACAAATAAATGCAATAATCTTGGTTATAATACATTATAATACATAGTACAGTAACAACATTAAAAATACATTCAACAGCTCACTAGACATGTAGCCAAATTGCTTTTACTGTGCCTAGTTCTTGAAATCAAATAGGTAGAATTTGAAACCAGCAGGGAAGACAAAACAGCAGAAATTCTCTTTGCTTCACCTTCTTCAGATCTTTCTTTCTTTGTTCTCTCTCTCTCTCTTTCTTAGGATGCCACTTCAAAGTTAGAGGAAGGGAGGTTAGAAGAGGCTCAGAATTTATCATAACCTCTCCCATCTGGTCTCCCCCCTTCCCTGGATATTGGAAGGGCCCCATTTTCCACCTTTCCGAGTTTGACTTTTTAACCTGAAGGAGGCACCTTGTCACAAGTCAAGATTCCTCCTTTGAGCATTCAAAAACCACAGACTGTTTTCCATCAAAGCATCTCAAAGCACACCAAATCTCTGAGCATGCAAAGAGCAATTTGTTGAACCCAATCTAGTACTCACCTCCAGGAACTCTCCTTATGAATATACCAGGCCCCAGCCCTTTGGGAGGAGCCTTCTAAAAGCCAGCATGCTGATCCTCTAATTGGACCACCCTCATCTGCTGATGCCACATCATGGGTCAAGAGCTAGGGTTGTCTGGGCTGTGTCTAAGAGCCTCATATCCAGAGTCCCCTCCTGCCAGCTGTATACCTGGATCATTCCCAGGAACTGCCTGCCCAGCTGAGACATCTGGCCTTGAGATAAACATGTCTTCCTTCCTCATCTCAGTATCTTGGCATGGCCATCCCCAAGTCCCTTAGATCTGCTTCATATTCCGATTCTGATTCTTCTGAATCAAGTCAGCAGTTCTTTAGAACAAGTGCCCAAAGTAGCTACCCTTCTCACTCCCAACACATTTGGTGCAGTGTTCTGTACATCCCCAGTATTGAATCAGAACTGGGCATCAGATCTCCACCTGCCAGGCAATAACTTTGAAGGTTTATAACATTTTCCCACCAAACTGTAATACACTTGGTTTATTTAAAAGCACAGATGTAGAAATTATAACCTATAAAAGACACATTTAGGAAAGAGAACCAAATCTCCTCATGCTCCTCATAGTGTACCAAACATTCCAACAGGCGCCCATTCTTGCTAGCAAGACAAAATTGATGTTTTATGAAAACTTGTGAGTAGCTACAAAATGAGGGAGAGATAATAGCTCTATTTCCCTTTCTCAAGACTGTTGGTCGCTCTGCAAGCCACAAGCAGTACTAACCAGGAGGGAGAAGTTATAAGCCTTTGCTACCATGCTTGTTCTCTCCCAGATGGTCTGGATTCCAGTTTCACCACCTGAAGCACAGCACTGAGTACTTTATTTGCATGAATGTGTATTGTTAAAATGTGCATTTGGGTAACCTGGTGGAGAGAAGCATGAGGAATATTTATGAGGAGATTGCCTACATTGATCAAGCTTGCTTGTGGTTTTTTGTTTGACATTTTTAGATGTTGATCTTAATTGATTTCTACCCAGTTTTGGCAGCTGGGGAGATACAAATGTTGGCCTTCTGCAAGTGCTGTTTTATAATTTAAAAGGCACATGCTTAAGTCATTCATTTTCACTAATTTTGAAGGAGAAGTTATATTGACTCTAGATATTACCACTGAGGCTGCTTTGGGGCAGGCCCTTTACAGATGATGGTCTCACCTTTTTCCACACCACTAACATACTAATTTTTGTGTATGAGACTTAACTAGACACCATCAGCCTATAGCTGAAATGTGGCAGGTCTCCTGTCTGCTCACCACTGAAACTTCCTATGGTATTACACTTACAGCAGCCAACCCAGCACTAAAGAAAACAACAAGGCAAGGCTAGAAAGTCGCTATAAGACTGAGCAGCTACTACAGAAAAAACAGGGCAGGATGAATGAATGAGAGAGGGGCAGAGAGCCACACTTTACACTTGAGGTCTTCCAGTAAAGGAGACTGGTATAAGTGAAATCCATAAGATTCTATTTTATTTGATACATAGCTATTAATATTTTATATGAGTTGAGTGCTTCCCTAGCTATTATTGGAACCCTCCTTTTTCCTCTAACCTAATCAGAAATTCACTCCCATGGAAGTTGTAGATGAAATATATCCCCACTTTGAAGCTGCAGCCAGTTCAATTGATTTTCAGATGGTTCAGATAGACTACTTTAATGTGACATTCAGATCAGCAAGGAAGGTTCAGTAATTAATAATTTAACAAACTTCTCACAGGGGATCTCTTATTTTCAGAGGAAATGATAACTCTTAGCCCTTTGTATACCAAAAGGGAAGCCAGAGGAAGCAGATTGTGGAAATTAAAGGGATTAAGCAAGCATAATAATCAATGCACAGTTCCTAGAATTAAGTTACTTAATTGAATCAATTAACCCTTAATTAACTTCAAATGAGAACGGTCTGATGGCCAAAAATATAGCCACTACTATAGATACTCCAATCTCGATAACAACAACAAATTGTTATTAACAAATATTAATTATCATTTGTTATTTGCAATAACAGGGGGACTTGATACCTAACCTAGAATCCTGCCTTAGTGTTTGATCCATGAACTTGAGGTTATTATCTAAGAAAAAACGTTCCCTCCAACTTTGTGATCTCTAATCCTGTACTGGACTGTCCAGTCCATCCTCCAGTGCAGCATGCTGCCCAGCTGAAGCATCACTAATTTCTCTGCTAACCAACAGGAGCAGAGACTACACCTAAATGGGGGATCTTTCAGGCCTCAGGACCTAGCTCCTCTGGACTCCTAAGTCTGATGATGGGGGGCACTGCCCTTGACACAATTGGATCCCAAACCAAAGCTCTGACTGGAGAAATGTGACCTTTCCTGCTTGGCTTCACTGAAGCTGATTGAAGCTCTTGCTCTTACTAGAAAGGCAAGGCAGAGTCAAGTCTGGCTATGCAGGGTAACCAGACTCTTTTGGACCCTGGATAGAACTATGCTTCAGAAGCTTTATGAAGGCCTGTTCCTAATCCAGAATTAGGACTAGAATTGTGAAGACCTGGAAGAACAATGGAAGTGTTTGGGGGAAATAAATGTCTGTTGTTGTTATTTTTCCTAAGCACATCTTTTGCTTTTTTCCTGAAAAATTGAACAATTTTGTATTATGAAATATTTTGCTTTAAAATTTAAGACAGAGTATTCATATATTGTTATCCAGCCTTTACTTCCACTGAAATGATTTCTAAAAACTATATCATAAGAATAGCTTTATAGAAAGACTAGAGATTAAAATGTCTGGAAATAATGAAGCAATAGGAAAAAATGATCCTCTCTGTAAATTCCCTCCATAACTATTTTTAAACTCTGTATTAAATTATTAATCTAATGTATCTTTTACTGATTGACATTTTGGGATCTTCCAAGTCCGCTCAGTTTCCCAACATGTGAATAGAATTAGCATGTGATAATACGGAAGACAACTGGATTCTTGACAGGTTGGGTTTTGTTCTATGGAGTACGGTATTTCTAAGCTTGTTTTGTTTAGATGATGCAATGTCAGTTAGCAAAGTTTAATTTAAAGCTCTCTTGTGGGGGGAAAAATCCACTGCCACCAGATGCAATGTAGCAGCATGTGTGTTACTCCACCTATTTTTTATTAACTTTGAGGCATCATTCTATAGACCCACTGCCAAAGATTTTAATAAAGCTATTCTGCTAGAATCTCTTAAAATAAATTTAGTAGCCTGACTCCTATTGCGGTTGCCTTTTACTTTCCTAGTATATCAAAATGGAATGCTTTTAAAATGCAATCCTTCAGTTGGAGCTTGAGGGGTTTTGTGCTGTTACAGTGTA